CAGCAACGTGTGGCAGATTTTACTTACCCAAAGGTCCATATTTTCCAGCATTGATGAGCTATCTAAATTTTTCCAGGTATATCTTAGCTTGTGGGAGGTAGACACCTGAGCTGCTTTCTTCTGAGAACTGATTAAAACATCAGGTAACATTTTCAAATGCATCTGAGTGCTTTAGGAGAAGACGTTCTATTTTCAGAAGTGAGTAACACCTGGTTATGAACCAAAGCTGGTTCAGCACCTATCTCCTATTGATTCCAATGCCAGCTAGGCATGTAACCTGCTTCAGTGCTTTTGAAAATATGACAATTTGCCTATCCACATCTGTAGGTGTCTAAATACCATAGACAATCTCGTAGTTAGGCACTTAAGTTTCATAGCAAGTCAGTGGTACTTATACTCTTAAATGCCTAAGTCACTTTTGAAAAATGGGACTTAGGAGTCTCAATCATATAGATATTTCTGAAAATTTTACCCATCATCTAAATAATTCTATGAGCAGGGGTTATCTTGGGAGCCTGAATTATTCAGGTTGGTGTCCAACTAGACATAAAACATGTAAAAGGAAATGTGCACATTTCTAAAATTTCACAATTTCATCATTTTTAACAGCTCAGTGGTGTTAATTTCATAATTAATTAATAGATTTAAAATAAAATTTCTCAGAACATGGAGAGAGTCATCTTGCTACCCGATGATCATTAAAGACGGGAGCTAACAATTAGATTTAATTGGAGAACCAAGGTGTTTGCAACTAATTGTAGCCCTGGTATAAACAAATACGACTCCATTGAATTCAGTGGAAGCATTTAAAGCCTGGGTTTCCTCTCACTTATACCTGTGTAACTCAGTGAGGTACATGGTAACTCTGCTGGTGTCAATCAGTGTCACTCCTTGGACTTCAGTGAAGCATCGCCACATGACAATCACTTAGCCTAATGAGTTAAATGGAACTTCAGGGGTGTAAAGTAGATATGAGAAATAATCTGCCTCATGGTTTCCAGAAGTTTTAAGACTATAAGTAATCTTCACCCTAGGATCTGTTATTTGAAACAGTTTCTTTTCATAGCTCAGCCCAGACCTTTCCCCAAATCCCAAGTTCCCTGCCTGACAATCTTTCAAGCACAACCTAACATACACTTATAGCTCCCTCCTCTCCCCCTCTCAGCAACAAACCCTCCAGACGTTCCTTCACACCTCCAACTACTAGCGGACAAAATGCGCTCTGCTGGGCAGGAGAGAAAGGAATAGCCAAGAGGAACAGAAAGTGGGAAGTTATGATGGAGGCCTTGGCAGGATGCAGATTAGTTATTGTCTTTAAAACACATCAGCATTTTTTTAAGAATAAAGAAAGCTAAAGGAAATATTTCAGTAAAGCATCTCAATTCCCTGCTATACTATCTACCCAAAGCACCTTAAAGTGGGAGTTCAATCCACTTTCTATTTTTCATGAACGAGGAAGATGGCTGTCTCTGCAGGGTGAAGTGCTGCCAGAATAGGCCACTTTCAGATACTATTTTACTTTGGAGGACTCAGTTTTTCAAGAGACATGTATTTAAGTTTAAAAGGTTTCATAATGCCATCAATTACAGGACTTCTCCTTTAAACGTCTCTGTCCTTGTGTACAACATACATGAATACAACTAGCCATAGCACATTTAATGTGTCATTGAAGAAAAGCCATTTTTCCCCTTTGTTAAAAGCTTCTATCAGTATAATTCCAGTTTTCTGCTAAGAGTTCCCTTAATTAAAGATTAACAAATTAAATATCTCTTTTGTTTAATGAAAATATGCTTTATCCTGTAAGCTTTATTTATTTAAGTAATGTTTCTGGAGCCTGGGGTTGTTTGGTTATTTTTAAATAAGTAATGCTGTAACAGCCTTCAATAAATTCCATAATCTGGCTGCTGTTTGGGGTTTGTTGTTATCTTTGTGGGACATTGATTTTTTTAAAACTGTTTTAAGCTGTAGAGAGAAATCACACTTATTTCAATCATTATTTTCAGTGTTTATCATTGCTATTTTACTGTTCAAAAGAGATTGCAAAGTTTAGTTGCATACTTTTGCCCTAGAGGAAATAAGCACCTGTAAAAGGCATTGCATTTCTTACATTTGCTAAGGATGTAATTTGGTCCTATTATGTGAAATTCTGAGCTTGATTATCTAAGTCATAAATAGTGCCCTATGAGCTGTCTCATTTCAGAGTGGGTACCTAGAACACTAATTTAAAACAATGCACATTTTGCCACAGACAGTCCCTCAAGCCACACTCATACATTTTAAGAGGTTTTAAATCCCACTCCCCTAACTGCTGTGCTTAGACTCTTCACCTACAGTGATTGCCATTAAAAAAAATCAGCACTGGCCAACAGTTACTCCACAGTGGTAGCAAAGTTTTTCCCTATATTTAGAAAAGAAACTGTCTGTTGGCAATGTTGATGTATTAATGACAACTTCTGCAAACACGTGTGTGTGTGTGTGTGTGTGTGTGTGTGTGTGTGCGTGCGTCCGTCCGTCCAAGCCAGGCTCTTTAGTCTTAAGAGATTTTTGTAACTTACTGATTTTGCTGCCAGTTTAGGATATTGACAAGGTTGTATTTTTAATGGTGTCATCTGGGGTTCAGCTGCTGTTCACTGATATAGCTTTATGATAATGGTACAAAATTAAGCTGTTGCTTGGTCTGTTTATTGGAAAGGATTAATATATTACTTTTATTATGCTATGTGTGATGTGTTGATACAATTTTCCCTGTATACTGTCTTCGTAGAAGCAAAACATCTGTGGAATTTGAATTAAAATAGATTAAACAAAATGCCAAGATGTGCAGTATAGATTTTTTCCCCTAAAATCTGGAAAATGTTCAATTATTTTGAAAAACAAATGTACACAGAAATGTTATAATGGCCTCAGATACCATGTCAAGGAAATATCAAGGACACTTACAAGAAACAAACCAAAATAAACTGATCCTATAGCTATTCAAGTTAAAAAAAATCCCCCACCTTTTCACCCTCGGTAAAAACAACTCTTTAGACTAGTATGGATGCACTACGAGCGAAAACTCTGCTTCTAAAAAAACAGGGGAGCACTACCAACTTTGTGGTTATTATATCTTGAGGCATCCGGAGCTCTGACTGGGAAACATAAATCTAGTGGAATTCATTATATTAACAGCTTGGCATTTGAGTATAAATGGGATCACCAGATCTAGGTTAGAGAAAAGGCCGCTGATACAGGGTTCTACTTGTAATACTGTGCACAATTTGCAATGATCTGGTATGACGTGATAACTCAGGTAAAAAAAAAAAAAATACCCAACTTATTAATAGTACCTTTCTGTGTATCCTCATCAATATGATGCAGTTTCATCGTTCATGTGCTAACATTTCCTAAATCCTTCAGTCAGTGGAAAAAAATAAAAGTACCCCTTATGATGTGTATAGGTATTTGTTGAGTAGTACACAGATCCAAAAGAAAGAGCGAGAGATGTTTTCTAATGGTGTTTGACATGGTAAACAATGAAGCTCTTCAATGCTAGGTTTGAAGGAATTTTTAGTCTTACAACACTTCAATTTAGCTGAAGTGTAGGCTAGCTGCACAATGCTGTGATCCTCCCCAATAGCTTGGGACACCCATGTCCACATAATGACCAGAAGAATCTAGACCACTGTTTTCTTATTCACATGAAAATAGCCTTCTGTCGGCAGAGGCTAACTATAATGTGCTTTTAGCTTTCAGGCTGCTGTCAATGCTCTTTCCCTGCCAAACTCAATGGAACTGGTAACTAATGCTTAGGAAGAATGATGTTAACTTTTTTCCCCTTTCCAGAAATATTCAAGTTCAATACCACTTTCACTAATGTTTAAAGAGAAAGGGAGCACCAGGCCAAGCAGACGTGACTAATCAGCCTGACATACAGTATACGGTATGTTGAGGCACTATAGTATGCAGCTGTATGTGACTATTAGTCTTCATGATAGCACTCACTTACCTGGATTCCTCCTTCATGTTAAAGTGGCTGTCCTGCGCACGCCTAGAGACATTCCACTAAAAGCACTTGTGTAAAGGGCCAACAGGATGCGTAGACCCTAATTCTCAGGTCTGCCTTCTGGTTTTGTTTGTTTCTTTCTTTCTATTATTGTACGTTTTCTTCTGCAGGTTCCTGCAGAATATATACACATATATGTATGTGTATGTATACATATCATTTTGTAAGTGTTCTTAATCATGCTTTTTTCTTCTGCTTTGCCTCATTTATTCCTGTATCCTCCTTGTTCTCATTTATTTTTTGTGCAACCAAACCTTATAATAAATTATTATTAAATATAACTTGTCAGTGACTGAGTCTTTGTGTTTTGTTTTCACCTGAGTGTGTTGCTGGGCCTCAGGGCCAGATTTCTTTCTTTTTCTCAACCATAAGGACCGGAGTGACTGCTAGAACATCTTGTGTGGCCATTGAGGGGGGGGATGGTGAGCTCCTATGAACCCTTCTTATTCTGGGCAAGAGGAAACCTGATGTATTTGATCTTGTCACTTCACATGCAGGTATTATGTTACCGTGGGCAAAAACAGTTTCATTCTGCTGCCACTCTCTAAAGCACCCAATATAAAGTGCCACTGCAGATGTTAAATACCTGGATCTAGACAGAAAATAACACATTTTCCCTCTGCTTCACTCATTCATATAAACTTTCAGGCTCAAATTCAGACCTGGTGTAGGCAGATGCAGTTCCAGTGCCATGGGAGGTACACGAGCTCTGAATTTGGCCTCTTAATTTATTCCCTCCCTCCCTGCCAAAATGATTGTTTAAAATGTAGATAAAGGCTCAGAAGATGTAAATTATAGACAAACAAATAATCTCTTGCTGCACTGATAAATCAAAGTCACTTAGCTGATGGAGACTAAAAAAAATAAAGGTCAGTCTGGTACAAAGAAAATAAAGCCTATGATCCAAAGCCTGTACTTCTACGTTGGTTACTTTATTCAGACATGAGAAGGAAACTCATGCTCTTGTCTTAGGTTTGCGTGAGAAGTCTCTGTAGTTGATATAAATCTCGTCCATCTCCCCAGATACTGATGCTACTCCTCTTCTGTTGTTTGGTGTGCCCCGAAAGTTGGATCTTCCATAACTGTTACCGGGCTAGAAGAACATAAAGCCATTAAAAAATGTCAACAATGAACTGCAAATCAGTGGTTCATTAGATAGCCACACTTTATTTAATCAAGGGAGATGCTCACAATTGAGCTAAAGCTCAAGAGCTCCTGTTGGTGTTGGACTCTGGATGCCCTCGGAATAACAGTAATAGGAATGTCAGAAAAATGAAGAAAAGCTGTTTGGGCCCAGATCTCATTTACAGCACTAGAAGATAATGCAGTAGTGAAGGTAAGGTTGGAGAGAACAGAGATGGGAGGAGGAACCTGGAACAAGTTGGTACTTTTAGTATTCTGAACATTTCAAACAGTTCCAGAGTTTTCTCAAAACATCTAGGATAGGGCTGACAAGCAATTAAAAAAAAAATCACATGGTTAAAAAAATTAGAGTATTAGAATACCATTTATTTAAATATTTTTGATGTTTTCCACCTTTTCAAATATATTGATTTCAATTTCAACAGTGTACAGTGTTCACTTTATTTTTTATTAATTTTTGCACTGTAAAACTAAAAACTGTATTTTTCAATTCACTTACTATAAGTACTGTACTGCAATCTCTTTATCATGAAAGTTGAACTTACAAATGTAGAATTATGCACAAAAAATAACTGCATTCAAAAATAAAACAAATGTCAAACTTTAGAGCCTATAAGTCCACTCAGAGCCTATAAGTCCACTTTTTGTTCAGCCAATCGCTCAGACAAACAAGTTTGTTTACATGTGCAGGAGACAATGCTGCCCACTTCTTGTTTACAATGTCACCTAAAAGTGAAAACAAGCATTCTCATGGCACTGTTGTAGCCGGCATTGCAAGATATTTATGTGCCAGATACGCTAAAGATTCGTTACAGCCCCCGCTCCCCTGCCGCCTGGGGCTGAAGCCCTTGGGCTTCGACTTTGGCTTCTCTCTGGCATGGGGCTGTGGGGCTTGAACAGGCTCAGGCTTCGGTCTCCTCTCCTGGATTTATGTAGTAATTTTTGTTGTCAGAAGGGGGTTGCAGTGCAATGAAGTTTGAGAACCCCTGCTTTAGATCTCTGAGACGAGCTGCTTCTATAATTCAAACTGTGTTCTCAGAAGCTATCTTATATTGCCTCTGTTACTGTAGTATATGAGTACCTCACAGTCATTCGAGTATTTATGCTCACAACACTTCTGTGAGTTGCTATTATCTTTAAACTTCTTTGGTGTCTTGCAGGCCACAAAGATAGGGACATCAGTATTTGTATTATTATTAAACTAAACGTAACTGATTAAAAGGCAGGTAGAGTTGCTCTTTGTATATAAGCCAGTAAATCATTCAAATGTATCCAGCTAAACAGGGTGCCCAGATATCTGGGTTCACAGATTGTCCTGATTGCAAAGTTGTTCTGGCTGAAACAGGATGAAGACTGACAGGGTGCTCCCACAGTGGTTCCATCTCCTCATCTGCTGCACCATTACATGAGAGATGGAGTGGAGAGCAGGGTTAGAAGGGAAGGGATGAAGGATGGCAATGAACAATGAAAGAGGTGAAAGGAGAAGTATGTTTTATTATCCCCTCCTAGCTGGCAAGCAGTGCCAATACACATGCCCTTCCTTCTTCAAGGCAAATCATCTCCATTCCTTCCCTCCTAGCCACCAAACACACTTTCAGTAGGGCTGTCGATTAAGCACAGTTAACTCACGCGATTAACTCAAAAAATTAATCGCAATTAATCAGTTTTAATTGCACTGTTAAACAATAGAATACCAGTTGAAATGTGCAATATTTTGGATATTTTTCTACATTTTCATATATATTGTATTCTGTGTTGTAATTGAAATCAGTGTATACTATTTTTATTACAAATATTTTCAATGTAAAAATTACAAACAAAAGAAATAGTATTCTTCAATTCATCTCATACAAGTACTGTAGTGCAATCTCTTTGTCGTGGGAGTGCAACTTACAAATGTAGATTTTGTTTGTTAAATAACTGCACTCAGAAACAAAACAAGGTAAAACTTCAGAGCCTACAAGTCCACTCAGTCCTACTTCTTGTTCAGCCAATCGCTAAGACAAACACGTTTGTTTACATTTACAGGAGATAATGCTGCCCTCTTCTAGTTTACAATATCACCAGAAAGTGAGAACTGACGTTTGCATGGCACTTTTGTAGCCGGCATTGCAAGGTATTTACTTGCCAGTTATGCGAAATATTCATATGCCCCTTCATGCTTTGGACACCATTCTGGGAGGGCATGCTTCCATCCTGCTGATGCTCGTTAAAAAAATAATGCATTAATTAAATTTATGACTGATTGTATGCCCCCTGCTGTATTTTACCTGCATTCTGTCATATATTTCATGTTATAGCAGTCTCGGATGATGACCCCAGCATGTTCATTTTAAGAACACTTTCACTACAGATTTCATAAAACACAAAGAAGGTACCGATGTGAGAGTTCTAAAGATAGCTACAGCACTCGATCCAAGATTTAAGACTCTGAAGTGCCTTCCAAAACTGGAGAGGTATGGAGTATGCTTTCAGAAGTCTTAAAAGAGCAACACTCCAATGCGGAAACTACAGAACTCGAACCACCAAAAAAGAAAATCAACCTTCTACTCATAGCATCTGATTCAGATAATGAAAATTAACATGCATTGGTCCGCACTGCTTTGGATTGTTATCAAGCAGATTCCATCATAAGCATGGACGCATGTCCTCTGTAATGGTGGTTGAAGCATGAAGGGACATATGAATCTTTAGCACATCTGGCACATAAATATCTTGCGACTCTGGCTACAACAGTGCCATGAGAATGCCTGTTCTCACTTTCAGGTGACATTGTAAACAAGAAGCAGGCAGCATCATCTCCTGCAAATGTAAACAAACTTGTTTGACTGAGCGATTGGCTTTACAAGAAGTAGGACTGAGCCCTTTCAGGCTCTAAAATTTTACATTGTTTTATTTTTGAATGCAGGGGTTTTTTTGGACATAATTCTACATTTGTAAGTTCAACTTTCATGACAAAGCGATTGCGCTACAGTACTTGTATTAGGTGAACTGAAAAATACTATCTCTTGTTTTCTTACATTACAAATACTTGTAATCAAAAATAAATATAAAGTGAGCATTGTATACTTTGTATTCTGTGTTGTAATTGAAATCAATATATCTGAAAATGTAGAGACCATCCAAAAATATTTAAATAAATAGCATTTTATTATTGTTGAACAGTGTGCTTAATTGCGATAATTTTTTTTAATTGCTTGACAGCCCTACTTTCAGCCCTTCTCCCCTCCCCAAACTTGACACTTCTCTCCAGCTGCCAAAATCCCCTCTCAAAGTCTCTGACTATCGTTAGAAATGCAGCCCAAGATTTCATCGGAAAAGTCTGATCACCCTGCAAACCAGAATCACATAATTTTGCCCAGAAATAGCAATCGCTACTGCAATTCCTCCCTTCGTGAGAGAATAAAGGGCCAGATTCTCACCCAGTGTAGGCCCACTGCCTTCAATGGAACTCCTCAGATTTACACCAACTGAGGATCTGGTCCAGAGTGTTTAAGTGGTAATCGGTAAAAAAAAAAAATGAGCCAAGGTAGTTGCTATGTCTCACTCATTTCCAAAATAAAAATAAACCAAAAAAACCAACAACTTTTGTCACAAATACAAATACACTTCATTATAGGATCAAGTAGCAGGGGAAACTAGGCTGCTATTCAAATCATAGTTCTCAAATAATTTCAAATGGGCTATAGTAGATAGACGAAAACAACTGCACGATTCATCCAGTCTTAAAAAACCTGCGATTCCTCATGCATTAATTGCTTTATGAACTAGGTTGTTCCTAAAGTGGGAATGGGTCCCACTAGGGCTTCTTAGCACAGAAAAAGGGAAGATTTCTGAGTGCAGGGATTTCCCTGAGGTCTGTACTCCCATTACAGCCTGCTTCACTCTTCTTCTGATCAATATAAGACAGAAGGGAGGCAGCGAAGACTAGGAGTACAGATGGAGTTTTAAATAAATCTCTACCATGCAACTAATAGTGGCTTCATGTACAAGCTGGTGACTGGGAGGAGCAGGAAGAGACTCCCACACTCACTGAGAAAGGTTACATAGTGTTCAGCGGGAAAGATGGCAAAGGTGGCCTCAGGAGCCAGGACTGAGGGTCAATGAAGAGGAAAGGCAGAAGCAGAATTAATGTGGCACCCTTCCCTCATCTTAGCATTCTTAGGGCTCTATAAAGATGTATATTATATTAATTATATTTTTATTATATAGTATCATATCAGAAGGAACACAAATAAGTATTAGTGTTTGGGTCCCACCTCTAAAGAACAAAAAAGAGGGAAACCTCTGAAAATTGGGTATCTGCCCTACAAAATTAGAGTAGGTGAACTCACATCTCACCCCCAAACATAGCACCTAAGTTCTCCTGTTACACTTCTCCCATGGCAGAAGTCCTGCATACATATGCAAAATGCTTAGGTATTACTTTTAAGACAAACTGAAGATGTATCAAATAATAGAATGAACCAAGGTTACCTTTAGTTTCCAAAATTAAACATGCATGCAGCATATGGAGGAATGATGGGGTTAGCTTTCAAGCCCAAAGGCAAATTCTTTGCAATCATATCTAACATCTTATATCACAGAAGAATCACTGCCAAAATAGTAAGCACTTTGATGTTTAATACTGTCAAAGTCCTTAACAAATATTAACTAACCCTTGCAGCACTCCTCTTAAGCTAGCAATCCATTTTTATTCAAAGAGAAACAGAAATTCAGAAAGATATTAAAGCCAAATTTTCACACATGGGAGCTCAAAAATCAGCCCATAAATCCATATTTAGGACAAATACACAGGGCCGGATTTGGAGATTTGCTGAGCATCTGCAACTCCCATTGACTTGAGAATGGTGGCCTGCATGACTAGCCCATAAACAGGATTAGAACTCAGGAATTCCTGGTGCTTGGATCAGTGCTCAGACCACTACACCATGCTGTCTCTTACAAGTGTGAGCATATTTCAGGGAGACAGTGAAAAAAGCACCAGTAGTAAGAGTACAATCTAAAGTGCAAACTGCAGAAAGTACTGTTTTTACGTTGTCACGTTTAAATTAGTCAGAAAAGAAAGACAAAGAAAAAAATTCTGCAAAAAGCAAGTAGTTCTTTGGCCAGTCTTACCCGGGTCTGAGTAGAGTACAGGGCTTTCGACAGGGCCTTCATGATCCTTCTCCTTTTCTTTCTGGTGACACACATTCATTAGGAATGTTACAGTGGAAATGCACATTTACATAGTTTAGCAGATTAATTCTAGCACCATAGATCTGTACGATAATATCAGTACAAAAATAATAACCAAAAAAAGGCTTAAAAGGCCATCTAGCATCTTGGGATTTTGTTTCCCAGGGAGAACTAGAAATGAGAGAGATAATGGAGGGCTGGGTTTACCTTCTTACTCAAACCAAAAGAAAGAACAAACTCCAATCAGCCTCTCCTCTGGGTATCTAGGCAGCTTAGTGTTTCTGCGTCTGAGTTATAGACTATAACCTACTTGACTTTGTCTCGTATAGTGCTGAGCACAAAGTTGGGACATAAATAATACATTTTAAAAACCAACCCCGTTTCAGGTGAATGTAAAGACATATTTGCCAATTAGCTAAAATGACCTTTTTTCTAAAAATTCTTTTTATTGGGGGGGGGAAGAGGCCACGAGATGTCTCATTATTTTGTTGCTGTTGTTTCTGCCACTTCAACAAAAAACAAAGACATAAAATCTAGGTTCAACATCTTTTAGTCATTTGGTAGGAGATGCAGTAAACTTGGGGGAAGGGGGGGGAAGGCATTCAAGTGGGAAATAAATTCAGAACTTAATCCCTTAGCATGTAATCACAGAGCATGCCAGTTGTGGTTTATGTCATGAAAGCATTTCATAGGCGCATGAAGATTAGAACGTGTTGAAATTTTTCAGAATTTGAAATTCAAACTTAAATCTTGAAACATTCACAATGTTTTCTACCAGCTATAGCATCAGAATATTTCAAGTGTTGACATTTCAAATTTCCAGTAAAAGGGGTAAATTTTAAAAAATTGCTACATTTCCACACCCCATTTTAAAAAGCCAATTCTAAAGAGGATGTTAGAGTATTAGCAGTTATGTCAATGGAAGGCTATCCAATATGAGGTCCTTGAGACTTTAGAGCTACTCGGTGTCGTTAAGGAATTGGATCTGTTATTCTGCTTACTTTTTACGATAAACAACGGTGACGCTGATGATCAGTATGGTGACCAGTAGTAATAATGAGGCAGCAGCCCCTCCAGCAATGAGCAAAATATGCCAGTGATGATCCAAAGTTGCTAGAAGATAATAATAAAGATTATCAATAGTTTGAAGAGGCAGGAATTCTTCACGTTCCACTAAGGTTCAAATCAACAGTTATATGGATAAAAACATATTCAGTGAAAGCTAATGGGGAAAATGAGACTGGCCCTCCCTCCCGCCCCTCAGGACCCAAGAGCAATTCTTCACTGTCACCTTTGTTTCTGGGGCTCTCAGCAGAGTTTACATTGATATCACAAAAGGCGAGAGACCACAATACAGAGATAGGGACTAAACAATGCATCACATAGCTTATTTTTTTCCCCACTGAGGAAACCAGAGTCTGATATCACGGACAAGATCTCTTCAGGAAGAAATAATAAAAATACTACATGCTAGTTTGTGTAAAAGTTATTGCAGAACCAGATATGGCCTATGATTTTACTCTACAGAGGTTATCCTAAACAAATAGTCCAACAGTCTCTCAAAACTCAGCCTCCTGGGCCTCATGACTGAGAACAACCAATAGCTTTGTCATCTCTTCAGAGACCCCAAAAAGGTTGCCACAGTCAACATTACATTGTCAACATTTGCCAACAGATACTACTACACAATCATGCCAGTTATTTCCTATGCTAACTATAGGGGAAACTGTTTTAACAAGCATTTCCACAAAAATGTGTCCCCTTAACCTATGGTAGATCCCATGTCCTGGGGCTTTTGTTTGAAAAAAGGTTGGAGAACCTATTCATCTGTTCTACTATTTAAACAAAGACACTTTCTGAGAACCATAACCAAGGCGAGAAGCACTTAACAATCAAAGTTATGTTAGACTTCACTTTCCTTGAAATGTTTAGATTTTATTTCTGAAAATCTTACTGGGCCAGACCCAAACTGTAGCCAAGGAGCACTCAAATGGCCAAGATGGTTATAAGACACATATGTACTCCCCCAATCCTGGGACCGCCCTGCACACAATTTATTTATATAGTTCCCGTCATCTGAGCACCACAAATGAGAATATATTCTCACAACACTCCTGACAGGTAAGAAGTGATTATCCCAATTTTACAGATGGGAAAATTGAAGTACGGAGGGGAAGTGACTTGCCCAGGGCCTCCCAAAAACTCTGTGGCAGACTCAAATCTCTTGAGTCTCAGCCCAGTGTTTCAGGGGGGAGGGATAGCTCAGTGGTTTGAGCATTGGCCTGCTAACCACAGGGTTGTGAGTTCAATCCTTGAGGGGGCCATTTAGGGATCTGGGGCAAAAAAATTAGTTGGGGATTGGTCCTGCTTTGAGCAGGGGGTTGGACTAGATGACCTCCTGAGGTCCCTTCCAACCCTGATATTCTATGATACAACTATCCCTCTTCAGTACTGTTTACTACACACACAGTAGTTATACTGAATAGATTTTCTCACACTCTTGATACTTTTTTCCCTGCTTCTTTTAATCAAAATCAGTATGTTAAACCACAGAACTTCTAATCAGCCTTTGTGCAACCCACCACAATGCGCTGCTTCCTCCTCCTATGAGCAGGGGCTAGGGGCACACCCAGATAACACAAGCTGTTAACAGCAGCATATGCATTAGCCAGATGGTTTCACCTCCTATGCTGCAGGGTCCACAGTGTGACAGCCAGTGTGTGAACAGACATACCACCGAGTGGTGGGAGGGATTCTGTCCAGCTATATGCAGAGGAAAAAAATGCTCCCTTATACATTCTTCTGCTTTTTTTGCCTCTGTGCACATAGAGCATAGAATCTAGGCCAAAGTAAACAGGATGCAAAACCAAATAACCTTATTGTTTTCAAATTCTGATGTGACACAGAAATGAAAGTAGCAAACAGTAAGGAAGACATGGGCTGAGAAAGAATAATCTCTGATTTGTTAAAAATGAGGACTATATATTTTATTATACAGACTATATTAGCTATATGATACTATATATCAGCAGTTCTCAAACACTGATCCAGGAAACCATGGTTGGTCACATAGTGCTGTGTCTCCTCCTGGTTTCCATCTGTTAAAATGTATTAAAAGACAGCTGAAGTGCTTTCCTAATATTCTTTCCATGTAAGCAATATTTGTAATTGCCACAGAGATACTAATTAATTGAAAATGGGAGGAGAGCGGACCATGAGAAAAACTATTAAGGTCTGGTCCATGTTACTGAAGATCTTGAGAACCCTTGCCATACATCACTACTATTGCTGAGCTCTGTGACTTTATCCTCACGCACAATTATTTCAAATTTGGTGACAATATATACCTCCAGACCTGTGGCACCACTTTGGGCACCCGCATGGCCCCACAATATGCCAACATTTTTATGGCTGACCTGGAACAACGCTTCCTCAGCTCTCGTCCACTCACGCCCCTTCTCTACCTACGCTACATTGATGACATCTTCATCATCTGGACCCATGGGAAGGAGACCCTGGAAGAATTCCACCATGATTTCAACAGCTTCCACCCCACCATCAACCTCAGCCTGGACCAATCTACACGGGAGGTCCACTTCCTAGACACCACCATACAAATAAGCAATGGCCACGTTAACACCACCCTATACCGAAAACCCACCGACCGCTACGCCTACCTTCATGCCTCCAGCTTCCACCCCGGACACACCACACAATCCATCGTCTACAGCCAAGCACTGAGGTACAATCGCATCTGCTCCAACCCTTCAGACAGAGACCAACACCTACAAGATCTTCACCAAGCATTCTCAAAACTACGATACCCACACAAGGAAATAAAGAAACAAATCAACAGAGCCAGACGTGTACCCAGAAGCCTCCTGCTACAAGACAGGCCCCAAAAAGAAACCAACAGAACTCCACTGGCCATCACCTACAGTCCTCAGCTTAAACCTCTCCAACGCATCATCAGTGATCTACAACCCATCCTGGACAATGATCCCTCACTTTCACAGACCTTGGGAGGCAGGCCAGTCCTCGCCCACAGACAACCCGCCAACCTTAAGCATATTCTCACCAGCAACCACGCACCGCACCATAACAACTCCAACTCAGGAACCAACCCATGCAACAAACCTCGATGCCAACTCTGCCCACATATCTACACCAGCAACACCATCACAGGACCTAACCAGATCAGCTACAACATCACCGGCTCATTCACCTGCACGTCCACCAATGTTATATATGCCATCATATGCCAGCAATGCCCCTCTGCTATGTACATTGGCCAAACTGGACAGTCAGTACGCAAGAGGACAAATGGACACAAGTCAGATATCAGGAATGGCAATATACAAAAACCTGTAGGAGAACACTTCAACCTCCCTGGCCACACAATAGCAGATGTAAAGGTAGCCATCTTACAGCAAAAAAACTTCAGGACCAGACTCCAAAGAGAAACTGCTGAGCTCCAGTTCATTTGCAAATTTGACACCATCAGATCAGGATTAAACAAAGACTGTGAATGGCTATCTAACTACAGAAGCAGTTTCTCCTCCCTTGGTGTTCACACCTCAACTACTAGCAGAGCACCTCACCCTCCCTGATTGAACTAACCTCGTTATCTCCATAGTGATTTATACCTGCCTCTGGAGATTTCCATTACTTGCATCTGAAGAAGTGAGGTTCTTACCCACAAAAGCTTATGCTCCCAATACTTCTGTTAGTCTTAAAGGTGCCACAGGACCCTCTGTTGCTTTTTACAGATTCAGACTAACACGGCTACCCCTCTGATACATCACTACTATTTATTATTTGAATTACTAGAGCCTAGATTACTAAACCAGACCGGGTCTACAGACCCTACAGACACAAAGAGACAATCCCTGCCCCAAAGAGTTTACAGTTTAAACAGGCAAGAAACAGACTAGTACGTGGGGAGGGCAAGGTAGCAATAACAGGAGTATGTTTAACCAAGGACTAGCTAAATGCACGGTTTATGTGAAACAAGCCAATCAGTAGCAGTCATCACAAATCGCCACCTGCTTAACCCATTACGAGATAGCTGTGTTCTGGGGGCATCATAGCAGAGGTGAATCCTTAGGAGGACAAAGGAAGTGGACAGTGGTTAACTATGAACAGAGGCCGTAACTTGTTCACTAGCTTCTCTTCAATGCTGATGTGCACACAGGAAACTGCAGGGCAAATGCTAACCACAGAAAGACCCCATGCTTTAATTTCAATATTGTTCTACTGGAAAGAAAGAAAATTCAAATGTTTATATTGCTGAAGGGACAAGGGACATTACAGCATTCTGACAGACTGTAAGAGCTGAAGACTTTCATACTGTAAACACATAGAAAAGCCTGTGGCCTTGTGTTTTGAGCCTGATTGCAGTTGTCATATGCCTATGACAAAGGAGAAGAGAAAGACGTGTTTCCTTCCAAGATATTATACAGCATTAGTCAGTCTCTATATCATAAGGATTTTCTGCTTAGGCAACTGCAGAAACAAACAAACAGATTGCCCTGTATGGAGCAAGTTCAAACATGTTCATATATTAGCTGCTTTGCTAAAATAGAGCATTTCATTATTATCTGTGCCAGAACATCAGATGCTAAATCCCCTCAAACTTCAGGAAAGGGTTGGTCTGCATCAAGCTCAACACTGCTGGTGGATTCCAACCAGAAAACGCCCCTCAAAAATGTAGGGGAGTTTTGGCTCCAGGGTTATCAGGCTGGGCTCATCTCTGATTTATGACAGTTTGAACATGGTGATTACCAGCTACCTAGTTAAATCTGGGTAAGAAAATTCTACAGATTCTGCTTTAGAAGCAAAAATAATACCCAGAAGCCCTTTTCGCCTTTTCTCAGTTGAAGTGAATTATGCCCTCCTGCTGCTTTTGTTTTCATAAATATACCAAACCCTACTGTAACTACTGACCTTTCAAGATTTCACAGAAACAATATCTACATGTCAGAGACTTGTCTCTTTAATGCCTATCTTCTGATGAAAGGAGCTAGGCTGATGGGAGAGTATTACATCTGTTCAAAAGGCCAGGCCCATTTTCCTTAAGTGTTGGACGAAAAACAGTTTTGTAGTATTGACAT